CGTCACCCCGCCCCATCCCGCCCGCTTCCCAGAGCCCGGCGTCCCGCCCGTTGCGCAGGCGCAAAACCTATTTTTCGGGTCCGCCCTTTTTAGAGATTTGAATTTCCCCCAGCTAAGTGAGAGAGACAAAATACCCGGATGGTGATCGGTGGCCTTTTCGCGCCAATACTGTGAGTTCTCACAACAACCTTGAGAGGTGGGTACTGACGTCTCCCCTGGGTTCCAAATGGGTTACAAATCTTGCAAGAGGCCGCCTGGGAGCTGCACTGCCTTGCTTCCCAGACGCAGGCTGTAGTGCAGGGGTCCTGTATCGGTGTCTGGGAGCTTGGAGTGACAACAGATGATTTTTTTCACTTTCTCTCATATTTATTTAGTCTTTATTTTCACCAGCCTCTAGCTGAAATACAGCTTTTCCCGCAATTATGAATGTAGGCCACAGAGCATTAGCCAGGTGATTTGTCACCAATGAAAATGACAGATCATTTCAGATTATATCGCTTTTGTTTTAGATATTCTGAAATTAACTAAATGACAGGACCTACTGGCAGGCAGAATAAGTACTTTGAAATTACTGTAGTTATTAAACCTGCCTGTAGATCCTGGAATTTAACCTATTAGTAAAGAAGCACATATATTAACATACCTCACATTTTCAAATACGTTTTAGTACTTGTCTTTTGACATATTAAATTTATGTTGTAATTCTGGTTTTCTTTATGCGTTTGGAAGCATTTGTTTGAAAAAGGCCAAAGAGGCCTCACCTGTATGGCGGTACTACCAACTGCCCTAAGTGACCTTGGCCAGTCACCTCTCCTCTCTGGCCCCGAGTCCCTCCCTTGTAAAATAAGGAAGCTGAGCTGCTGGTTCCCAGGGGCCTTGCCCACACTCAAAGATTCTCTCCCCAGAGTTCAGGAATCCCTGTGGTTGCTCCAGGTTCTTTGGGCATTCAGGTGGCTCCGATTGACCTCACCGTTTGGGGATGTCCCACATTGCAGCCCTCGGACTGGCATCCCCTTATCTGCAGAAAGCAGCAAGGGTGATTAGGGTAGTCAGAGGTACAACAAGGAGTTGTCAAATGGTGGAGGCCAAAAAAGCCGCCACTGTGACAGATGATGGTGGCTCCTGCTTAAATGCATATCACCCCAGGAAGCAGGAGAATCTAAGGAACGTGTGTTAGCCCCTTAGCCAGGAGATGGTCATGCTTTGCAGGACTTCCCCAAAAGACCCCAGAACAGGCACCTGATGCTGTGGATCCTTTAACCTTTGTGTGCCAGGCGCTGGGAGAATCTGAAGAACTTTGAGTGTCCTGTAACAAGGGTCATGGCAGTTCAAGGGTACAGAGGAGCTAGGCCATAAAGCACCTAGCAGTGGTCTTCCTGGTGGAAGCTGGTTTGATTATATGTCACTTTCAGCTTGCACAAGGGCTCAAGTGGACTCTGCTGGGCTGGCTGGAGAGAAGAGTTACTTTCCATGTCCTTCCTGGACCTCCTTCTCTATCAAGTTGACAGTGTTTGATTCCTGTCCCTGGCTCTCCTCCCTGCTTGCTGGTAGATAGAAGGGTCAGGCTAGTTTGGGCTACATGGGACCCTAAAGGCCTGGCACTTCACTCCAGGGAGCCAGGCCCAGATGGGTGCAGAGAGGGATCCAAAGACACTAGGCAGGCCTTAGCTCCCATCCCAGCCAGAATTAGAAGCTGAATAGGGAAGCGCCTGAGAGGAAATGACAGCCTAGTTGGGGATGTGAGCAGGCTGGGTAGGGTGCAGGAGGGAAGAAAGACCAGTATCATTCCAGCTAGAAGACAGACTGGGCCTGGGGAGCTCTCAGGGCTACGTGGCGATAGCATTTTGATGTCTGGCCAAGAGGTCAGGATGGGATTGTGTGTGAAGTGAAGAGCCAGGCACTGAAGGGTGTTGACACAATCCAATTCAGGGGGTGTCTCAGGAATATACTATGGACTGCTGAGTGCAGACCATGTTAGCGGCCACCATCCTGACAGTGGGAACCCCAGGGCAGGGGTGGCCTGGAGGATCCTTCGCCAGAAAGGAGGGGGCAGGAGGTGCCGACAGTGCCACATGCTGAGATGGAGACTTGTGATCATCCAGGAGATGCAGACTGAGGGTGAAGGCTTCCATTCACTTGTGGAAATGCTAAGCCTCGTGGTCGCCTTATGAGCAGACTCCCAGGCCAGGACAGACAGTAGCAAGAAAGCTCAGCATGAGGCCCAGCAGCTCCCTCCCCAGGGAAGGCAGGGAACCCCCATAGCCCGGCTGAGCAGTGAAGTGGCAAATGGGACCAATGAAGAGTAGGCACAGGGCAAGGGTGCCTGCTTGGTGCACGAATTGAGTTGAAGTCGAGCAGCTCTTCAGTGAGCCCTGAAGGGAAAGCAGAGAATTAGCCTCTGTCCCGCCCCTTCAGGGCCTAAACTGCAGGAGGGGAGATAGACAGTCATGCCTCAAAAATAAATGGTGCTAAGTGGTCTGCATCTGTAAAAACTCACCTAATTTACACAAGGACTCTGTGGAGAGGTATTGGTAGCATCCCCATTCTACAGGTATGCAAACTGAATCCCAGAATGGTTAAGACCCAAGGTCACACAGTTAGTAGGTAGGGGACACAGACAGTCCTTCTCTTCCCCATGCCTGCCTGCCTGCTGTTTTGGCTTTGAGTCATTTTCAGAGCTTTAAACCTCTTCTTTCTTCTTCAATGCATTTCTAGGCTACTAGGCCAACTCACCCCACAGCTGGCCCCAAAGCAGTTGACGGTCAATGATAAGTCTACGTTGTTTTTAAATTGTTTGTCTGCTGGCCCTCACTAGGTAGCTCAGTTAAGGTTAGAGCATCTTCCCAATACGCCAGGGTTGCGGGTTGGATCTTGGTCAGGGCACATACAAGAAGCAACCAGTGAATGCATAAATAAGTGGAACAACAAATCGATGTATGTATGTGTGTCTCCCCCCTCCTCTCTCTAAAATAAATAAAAGTCAATAAATAAATTATTTGCTTCTTTGACTGCAGGAAATGGAAAGTTTTATAGTGAGACAGGAAAGAAGGTGATTTGCAGATGGTCTAGGACTTCTGGGGAGGGCAGGAGGGCGAGCCAGGGTAGCAGGCCTGGAGGAAAGCTCATTGTGCTGCCTGACCTCACACCCAAGCAGCAGAGGAGAGGTGCTCCTCCTCCTCCTCCCCCTCTTCCCCCTCCTCTAGCACCACACCATCTCTTGCCTGGGATTCCAGAACTCAGACCACAGCTAATGGTCTCTTGTTCAACTGGGTATTTGGTTAAAAGGGTTTTGGGGCTAGCTTGGAAACGTCCACATTTATAACACTGCTGAAGTGGGAAAACCCGTCTGAGTTGTACGAACAGATCTAGGAAATGTTGGAGTCTCTAAATACAGTGGCTCTAAGGGAACTAGGGCAGGGAGCAGGATTTTTATAGTCCACAATGAGAGAAGAACAGCATAGGTGTCAGGAGAGGCACGAAATGCCTAGGCAAGAGAGGATTCTAGGGGCTTCTAATGAAAACTGTTGGCGGATCCTGATGCTGAGAGTCGACAAGATGGAGGCTCTTTTTTGGATGGTTTTCTTTCTAACCACATTCTTTTTCTAACCACAAAGGAAAAAGGCAGACCAGTCCTCCACTCGTGCCAGCCAATCAGCAGAACCCCCACCTTCCTCTGGCCTGCCACCGCCACTCCCGGGCAAGGTTGTAGCATCTGCATCGGAAATCACGGGACGTCTTCCTGCTGGCTCAGCTGGGAGGCAGAGAAGTGTTTTGCAAAAGCTGTTTATCTGAATTCTGAAATAACGGCGAAGGCTCTGCCACTCTTTTAAGCTCTCTGCCCCAAGTCACAGCTAGGGTTCCAGATGAAGCCCAAGTCAGGGCAGGCCCTCTGCCATGTGGCCGTGGCCAGCTGCCTCTGCATGGCCACTGTCTACACGGGTGTTTTTGAAAGCGTCTTTGTCGAAGTGGGCTATGAGCACTATGCGGAAGCCCCAGTAGCCAGCCTCCCCACCTTCCTAGCCATGCCCTTCAACTCGCTTATTAACTTGGCCTATGTGCTCCTGGGAGTATACTGGCTACAGAGAAGTGTTAGTGCCCCAGGGCACCCCAGTGAGGTGCAGCGGGCTTGTTACCTGAAGGATGTCTTTGCTGGCATGGCCCTGGTCTACGGCCCCGTGCAGTGGCTGTGGATTGGACTGCAGACACACCCCGCTGCTGTGCTCGACCAGTGGTTCACCTTACCCATCTTTGCATGGCCAGTGGCCTGGTGCCTCTACCTAGACAGGGGCTGGGAGCCCTACCTGCTCCTAGCCATCGAGTGCCTCTCGCTGTTCAGTTATGGCCTTGCCTTGCTGCACCCCTGTGGGTTTGAGGTCGCCCTGGGTTTGCACATTGCTGCTGCCATGAGCCAGGCCCTGCGTGTCCACAGGCGCTACGGCAGCAATTGCTCAGGAGTGTACTTGGTTCTGGGAGTAGTATCCTGCCTGGGCTTTGTGATCCTCAAGCTGTGTGACCATCAGCTAGCCCGGTGGCATCTCTTCCAGCGGCTTACAGGCCACTTTTGGTCCAAAGTCTGTGATGTGCTTCAGTTCCACTTTGCATTCTTATTTTTGACAAATTTAAACACTTGCCAGAGACTCCCTCTTGAGGGGAAGATGCATTAAAGTATGGAAAGAAGCTACTTAACAGATGCTGACCCCCCAGTGTCAAAATGGACAATCAGATGACATTTTGTCCACAGTGTTAAATTTCCTGGGTGTGATAAGATGATTATTACATGGGAGACTGTCCTTTCCTTCAAAGTTATGGGCTTCAGTATTTAGGAGTGAAATGTTTTACCCTATTATACCATCCTTGTAACTTTTCTGTAGTTTGAAATTTTTCAAAATAAAATATTGGGGGAAATGACCCCAAGAAATCCCTGACACTCAAAGTTGGAGAAAGAATGGTTGTTTGCAATAACTTCAGGATGTGGGTTATAAGTGCGGGCTGATGACAGTGGGGTAGGGGAGCTTCTGGCCAGTGCACCAGGCCAAGCAGTGGGGTTATCAGTGAGTGTTCCCAGAGGTGAGGGGTCAGGGAGAGTGAGTCACATGAAATACGTGCCCGGCAGACTGATAGGGAAGTCAGAAGATCAGAGCATTAACTCACCATAACACCTTAACTGCCAAGCTAGCAGCAGGTCACATGGAAGCCACGTCATCTCATATCCTCTGTGGAACAAGGCAGGGTGCAGTGCGTCTAGATGAAGAAACAAATGTTAAAAATGGAATTCTCGCCTTAGTTGGTTTGGCTCAGTGGTTAGAGTGTCGACCCATGGACTGAAGGGTCCCGGGTTTGATTCTGGCCAAGGGCACGTACCTCGGTTGCAGGCTCAATCCCCGGCCCTGGTCGGGGCATGTGTGGGAGGCAACCAATTGATGTGTCTCTCTCACATTGATATCTCTCTCTCCCTCTCTCTCTCTCTCTCTCTCTGCCTTCCACTCTGAAAAGCAATGGAAAAAATATCCTTGGGTGAGGATTAAAACAATAATAAAAAGTAGAATTCTCTGCAGAATGTTGCTAGATGGGTCCACCCTCAGAGCCAGGGTGTATCTTAGATGTCCACAGAGCAGCGATTTTCAACCTCTCATCTCACGGCACACATAAACTAATTACTAAAATTCTTCGGCACACCAAAAAATATATTTTTTGCTGATCTGACAAAAAGAAATAGGTATAGTTTTGATTCATTCACACCAGAAGGCTATTGTGTTAGCTATTGTCTTTTTTTTTTTTTTTTGACAGTCTAAGGGAAAAGAGGTCAGCGCCCCTGACAAAAATAGTTTTAAAAATCCTTGTGGCACACAGGTTGAAAATCCCTGCCTTAGAGGCTAGGGTTACTGAAAGTGTCATGTCTGTAGCCATTGGAGAGACCGAGAGCATGATCTGAGCAATCCCCATATGCCAGTCACCCCAAGTCCTTAGGAGCCATGATTTCCTGATGGCATCTCAGGGCAGGTCCCTGGAGTTGGCATCTTTAAACCCCTCAGCATGCTTCTCATGATATGACAGTGTTTGAACCAGCGAGCCTGGGGGTCATGATGCTGGAGCTGAAGAGATGCTGAGGATCCTGCCTTTGAGCTGCCCCCTGCAGACCCCCAGAGACCATCACCCCTCCCCCCCTGCATTCTTTCTCTTTGCTTGTTAATGGGTTCTTTAGATGCCTGTTTCATCTTCTGTCACCTGAAAAGCCTCTGGTGTTTAAAGACAAAGGTGAGGGCAGAGAAAAGAGGCCCTGTCCCTGTCAAATGGCACTCAGAACTGGATGCCTATTAGCTCAGTGCCCCGAGACCTCTCTCCCTAGAGCCTCTCGGGTTGGCATGTGGACCATTGCTACCGAGATGCTTTTGAAACTGGGTACCTGGGTCAAATGATCTCTCCTAGCTGGGCACATCTAAAATGGATGGTGAGTCTCAACCACGCTGTCACCTGAAGAACCCAGCAGGTGAGAGCCCGTGAGCATTGCCTCCGCTTAGATGCCTGTGACAACCAGCCTCTATCCCTCCCTCAAGGCCTGGGTATATGGTGAACCCGTGCCCAGGACTTGGGGGCCCGAGGCAGAGCATGTCAGCAGGTGAAGAGCAGAGGCAGCATTTGCTTGGGGAAACAGCTTTATTCCATTACAATTGTCTCGAAGGCTCTATATGCCCTAGAAGAGGAAAAAGACTATGGGTGTCTCTAGAGAGGCTGCCCTTATCTCAAAGAGGCCAAAGGGAGGGAGAGGGGGTGGCTCAGTTAGAGATGGGGGTAGGAGGGTGGAGGAATGAAGGGAGCAGGCTCTTCACCTAGTATCTGGGTGATTCCCCCCCCCCCTTTTGCT